CAGCCCGGGAGGGGGAAAGACGCTCTTTTGGTGTAAAAAAGAAAAGAATCAGCGACTGAAGCCGGGGAGAGGGGGGCGGGGAAGTCTCTCAAGGGCCAGTAAGCGATTGAGCGGTTGTTTTACACGCGCGGCACCGCTTCCTCGCAGAGAGCCAGGGGGTCCGCGGGAGGGTCCAGGGTGCCCAGCCCGGGACAGGAGGGGTTGGTCGCCAAGGGAGAGGGGGCCACCCCCGCACCTCCCCGAGGGGCTCCGCCGGCCGCGGGTGTCCTGGGGCGCCAAGGGTCTGTGGGTGCCCCCAGCAGGGGCGTTCCGCGTGTCCGTGGGTGCCCTGGGGACAGTGGCCCTGCCCGGCCCCACCCGCGATCTTTGCCTGCGGAGCCTCCGAGGGAGACGGGGTCCGGTGCGCGCTCGTGTGCGTGGGTTCGGTGTGGATCTGGGTATAAAGCAGTTGTTTGCCGCGGGAAAAGGAAAAAAAAACAACAACAAGAAAAGAAAAGAAAGAAAAAAAGGAGCAATTTTCCTTCCAACTTGTTTTGTTGTTTTTTTTCCCTCCCCCTTCTTCTTCCTAAAGCACTAATTCCTCCGTGTGGGCAAACAGCCATTCTCCTTTGATTCTTAGTCACAGCCCCTAGATTAAATCCCGGTTTTAATGAGAGCGTGGCTGCGGCCGCATTAGGTGATGATAGTTATGAAGACGATCTGACCTGTTTTGATGAAGACGATCTGACCTGTAGGGAGAGAGGGAAAGGTCAGCCACATGCAGTGGCCAGATTTCTCCTCGTTCCCGGCACATGCTGCTACAATATTGATCCGTGGAGAAAGATAAACATAAAAGCTGGATCCTATGTCCTGAATACTAATGAACGTGGCTTCCAGATTTTAATTGTTAACTTCTTATTTCCACCGTCCACATAGGCTGACCTCTCTAGAACTATTCTTTCCAGATGTATTTGATTTTGGTTTGGTTTTCTTCGGACATTTTAAAATCTTGTTTTGTTGGGGTTTTTTATTCCAACCACTGAATCTGCCTCCCGTTGGAAATCTTTCCACCAAGTTACTTTCCCCAGCAGCCCAGGCGCAACGCCCCGAAAGCCACCGCCCGCATCTCGTTTCCATGAGACGGAGCAGGGAAGGCAAACGCCGGACCCGACGCTGCTGAAAACGGGGAACGCTCGCCTGAAATGCAGTATCTCGACCTGGGATCCACCTTTCGGATTTCTGCTTCATTACTCACTCCATTCCTTTGCCGCTTTAACGCTGCAGATGACACCGGAGTTGTTGGAGGGGCTGGTTTGGGTTTTTACTATTATTTTTTATTTTTCTTTTCCTCTGCCGAATCGTTTGGCATAACCAGCAGTCAAGCTGGAAGGGAGCTCCCTCTTCAAAGCCTCCCAGTTCCCCAACTGTTCCTAGACTAGAAACACCTACGATAAGCAAGGAGAGATGGAAAAACGCCGTTGTCTCGAGGAGAGAGGCGTTGCAGAGGCGCTTCCCTCTTGCCCGTGCAGAGCAGCCCGGTCACGCAGCCGGAGGACGCTCTTTTCGGAGGGTTTTCACCGAGATGGTAGATGGCTCAGGACCACTCCCTGCCCCGGCTGCCTCTTGCAATTTTATTTATTTATTTATTTAATTTTTTTGCCCTTCGAGATGGTCAAAATTAGCTTTAGATCGGATAAAGCAGTCAATGAAATAGCTGTCCCTGAACGCGCAATTTTTCTTTTCCTCTGCCGAATCGTTTGGCATAACCAGCAGTCAAGCTGGAAGGGAGCTCCCTCTTCAAAGCCTCCCAGTTCCCCAACTGTTCCTAGACTAGAAACACCTACGATAAGCAAGGAGAGATGGAAAAACGCCGTTGTCTCGAGGAGAGAGGCGTTGCAGAGGCGCTTCCCTCTTGCCCGTGCAGAGCAGCCCGGTCACGCAGCCGGAGGACGCTCTTTTCGGAGGGTTTTCACCGAGATGGTAGATGGCTCAGGACCACTCCCTGCCCCGGCTGCCTCTTGCAATTTTATTTATTTATTTATTTATTTATTTATTTTGCCCTTCGAGATGGTCAAAATTAGCTTTAGATCGGATAAAGCAGTCAATGAAATAGCTGTCCCTGAACGCGCAGTTCAAGTTTCTGCTGCTTCGCGGAAGACCTATAGTAAGCACTATTGACTATATAGCGGCAATTAACTATATCACACTGACATTCAAGAAAATTAGGGAGATATTAAACTCCTGATTCC